CCAGGTCTTTGAAAGGGAGCTTTTGTCTGCTTCCTCAGCAGGACCAGGGCCTGCTCCACTGCAGTCAGCGCTTCCTCCCCAGAATGCGATCAGAGCAGCTGCCTGGCCAAACAGCACCAGGGCTCTCTCCCCACCCCTCCTCCCTCTCCCACCCCTCCTCCCTTCCCCTCCCCTCCTCCCTCTTCCCAGGGACTCATAATATAATGGCCTCTGGGGAGTATCCTTTCCAGACCTACAGTCTAATTTTAGTTTTCTTTCTTGGTCCCTAAAGGAAACTGAAAGCCAGCAGACAATGCCACAGTGATATCAAACAGCTAAATAGATGGCCCTGAAAACCGAATCAGACGTTTGCTTCCTTCACAGAAGTCACATTAGTCATCACTGGTGCTCTGCAACAATCTTATCTATCAACAATCGAATCTAAAAAACAAAGTAAACGAACAAGCAGAACAGACACGGACTCACAGACACAGAGGACATTTTCAGGGGTTTGGGGGTGATGAGCAAGAAAGGTAGGGATTAAGAAGTGCAAATTGGTTGCTACAGAATAGTCAAGGGGAAGTAAAGTGCAGCATGAGGAATATGGTCCATAACATTCTAATAACTATGTGCGGTGTCAGATGGGGATGAGATTTACCCGGATGATCACTTAGCAAGTTATACAATGTGTCATCTCTGGGGTGTACACCTGATATTGTATGTCAACTATAATTGAAAAATAAAAAGTGATTTAAAAAAGAATTAAGAAAAGGAACACGCCAGGACTGCTATTCTAACGGGTAGTTTCTCTCCTTTCAAAGTTTAAGTATTTCCCCTTCAACGAATTCACTCTCAGAAGTTTCCTCCGGTCTTAGTAAGACTAATGATTTGCGCTGTTAAATAGGAATGTTCATATTTCATGGGCCTTTCTGCGTAAGTGTTTTTCCAGTTGTCTTTTATACAGTTGTTGTGATTCATGTATATCTGTGTTGGAGAATAAAGTTCAAACTCATCTTCACTGTTTAGAAACAGTGATAATACATATTTTCCCCTCAACTAAAAAATGGGTGCTTCAACAGACTCTTCTTTAGTTCCCATGGAACTGTTGTGTTTATTTTAAAAATACAGGATCATTTGAGCTTTCATAAGTGTCCCTTTTGTGTTCTATGAATGCTTTTGAATGAAAAAGAATAGCTATAATTTTCCTGTCCTGATATACTTCTTTTCTCATTCAGGGATTTTAATCTAAATGTAAAATAATGAGACCTAACGCCAATAAGTCATTGAATAAAGCTTGCAGTTAATTACTAGAAAACAAAGCAGCTTGCAATGTTTTCACCTCCAAGTCAATATAGCGTGGTGCATATTTTAAATATGATTTATTTTCAACCTCCTGTCAACCTTGTTTAATCTTCCTGTAGCTCTGCTTTCAGTCTCCAGAGACTGGAAATCTTTTTAAAGAGATTTATTAACTGGTCCCTTTAGCTCCTCTTATGTCCGCTTGTCTAGTGCTGCCCTCTGCTGACTATTTCTTGAATTACAGTCCATAGATGTTTACAGTTTTGCCTGAGCGGGGAGGAAAATAAAAGAACAATTTTTAAAGTGTATACCTTAGAGTTGGTTTTATCTATATCTTTATTTTCAGCGGGCAAATAAAAAATCTGAAGTCCAGAACATATTTCATTCTAGAACACTCCAGGGGATAGAAATATTCCTCCTGATTCAGGCATTCAGGTATGCGTACCTCCTATCAACCAGCTGCCTAGGTCTGGTTCCTGGTTGGGCTGAATGGAGGTGGCAGAGAGGAATTTGGCCCTTCAGACAAAGACTTTCCTTATGGCATGCTCCCTTTTCTTTTTCCTTTTAGAAAATAACCTTTCCTCTCTAGGTACCAGTCTTACTGGGAGGCCTCTGAACCCTTCTCTCTGGCGCTCAGGCTGAAGTCAGAATTGCTTCTTGGAGGTAACAGGCCAAGGCTATCTCACACCCCTGGTAGCTTCCTTGTGGTGCTTACAGAGAGACAGAGATGAGAGAGAGAGAGAGAGAGAGAGAGAGAGAGAGAGAGGAAAAGGGGGAGGTGAGTCAGCTTTTACTGACTTCCATTCCCATCAGTGAGTCCTGGGGCTGCAGTCTTCCTCACAGCCCAGCTGATCAGCGTGACACGCTGCAGGATAGAGATTTGAGTGAACGAGAAAGAGTATTTGGTGTGTGGCAGCTGCCTCGGACCTGAGAGAGCTCTAATTTGGTGTCAGCATGAAACGCTCTGGGGTGAGGACTGGGAGAAGGCAGAAAAGTATATTGACTCTGCACCGATGTGCAAGATACTGTTATATAATAGACATGACTTATTCTCATAATAACCCTGTTGGGAGCTGAATTGTTGTCCCTACTTAAAGAGGGAGGAACTATGGCCTAGAAAGGTTTAATAACTTCACAAGGACACCCAGGGTAAACGGGCTGAAATCTAGGTGGGCCTGACTGCATGGCCCAGGATCCTGCTAGAACATCATGAGCTTGTGGGATAAGAGTACAAGGACCACCCCCTGCCGGCATGGCTCGGTGGTTGAGCGTCGACCTATGAACCAAGAGGTCACGGTTCGATTCCCGGTCAGGGAACATGTGGTGTGTGTGTGTGTGTGTGTGTGTGTGTGTGTGTGTGTGTGTGTGTTTAAGAATAAGAACACCTTGGTTCTATTTTTAGCTCTGTCATCAGTGACTGCAAGACTTTGAACTTCAGCTGTAATAGAGGCATACAAATCCCTGATCTACTTACCTCCCCTGGTTATTGTAAGAACTAAATGAGATGAGGGTGCAAACAATGCTTTAAAAGAACCACTGTAAAGCCCTGTACAAGCAGAAGGAGGTTTTATTGTGTTAGCTGAAATTTTGCATGGAGGTACTAACTTCGCCAGCAAATTTAAAATGTGTGCTCCACGTGCCATATCACAGCAAGCTCACACCTGAACCTCTAAACTCTGAGCAAAGGGTGTGGATCAACATTACTGGAAAGCTGGCTTTCAAGCCTTGGTTGTAATTTTACTGTAGTTGCTTTTCACAAATAATAATGAGAGCTAACATTAACTGAGCACTTACTCCATGAAAAGCTCTCCTCTAAGTGCTTTATATGCAATAACCCATTTAACCTCACAAAATCTTAGTACCTCCAGTTTAAAGATGAGAAAACTGAGGCAAGAGAGGCGGAATAACTTGCTCAGGGGATACACACCACAGAGGCGCTGAGATCTGAACCCAGTCCACTGGCTTTAGAATCTGTGCTCACCACCCCTACATCATTTGCCTCTTCCCACAAAGGCCCATTTCATGAAGTTGTGCATGGCACACCGAGAGTACCAGGCACAACACCTGTTGTAGGGCAGATGCCAATAAGCTGGAGACAGCAGCAATGCCGATCCTGGCAATATGGGTCCCAGCTGCCAGGTCCTACACACACATCTAATCCAACCCACAAGCAATTGTACAATCAAAGGCACTCAGTGACAAAGTTCCCTTTCTTGGAGGATAACCCGACCTACTTTCTTTGGTTTTGCCACTGCCCTGAGAGCTCCTGGCAAGACTATCTGCTTAGAATGTATATAGGTGGCAGGGGACTCTTGAGTGTCCAGATTCATCTCGCCATAATCTGGAACTGCATAAGGCTTCATTACGTCTTAAGGAGGTGGTTCTACATTCCAAGCAATACTTTACTGGAAATTGCTTGTCTCCTTTTTGGTTTGCCTAAGAGAGGCATTATGGACAATTCTGGGAAGCAGAAAGCACAGGGAGGACATACTATCCTGAAAGTGGACTATATCCTTTTGCAGAGGGAGAGAGGGGAATAGCAAGGCAGGGTAAGGGCTTTAACTGTATATGTAAAATTTTATTCTTTTTAAAAAATATATTTGTATTGATTTCAGTGAGGAGGAAGGGACGTGGAATATATCCTTTGCAGAGGGAGAGAAGGGAGTAGCAAGGCGGGGTAGGGGCTTTAACTGTATTTGTAAATTTCATTCTTTTTAAAAAATATATATTTTTATTGATTTCAGTGAGGAAGGGAGAGGGTGAGATAGAAACATCAATGATGAGAGAGAATCATTGATTGACTGCCTCCCCCAACCCCCAGCCCTCACTGGGAATCAAGCCTGCAACCTGGGCATGTGTCCATGACTAGAATCAAACCAGGGACCCTTTAGTCCACAGGCTAACGCTCTATCCACTGAGCTAAACCGGCTAGGGTGTAAATTTTATTCTTTAAAAAATATAGAAATAGCTGAAGATACTTGTTAAATCTGCATGATGAGTGTATAAATGCCGGGTATAATGTTTTTCATAGTTTCCTATTTGAAATAGTTCATAGTTAAACATGAAAACAGTACAACAGGGACACAGTGCGAGGAAAGCCCCTCACGAGGGCTGTCAAGCTTCAAAGCGGGCCAGGGGTCACACCTCACTTCACAAACTGGGCAGCACTGAAAGGTTTTCTCCATCAGAAGCAACACACAGCCTGTACGTAGCCCATGAAGCTCATCCTTCATGGGGTGTTATTGCCTCCAAGGTATCTTTCATGTGTGAGATTACAAACTCCTACAGCAACCAGAGGTGTATGTAAAATATTCTTTTCCATAAACAGCCAGAGGGCGGAAATAAGATTAAAGCCATACAAACTTGTGGAGTAACAAAGAGTCTTTCATGAAAACCATGAAATTTAGTTGGAAGAGTTCCACAGCCTCAGACAGGCCTTTCATGGTTTGAAAACGATATATTCTGGGAAAGGAAATATAACAGGGCCACAGTCAACATTTCTTCCATCCTTCCTATGACTTAAAGCGCATTTTTATACATGATCTCCATTGATCTCACAACTGCTCTGAGGAGGAACAGAAACAAAGAAGGGAAATGATTCACTCACCTACAGAACCACAGCCTCCCCCAGGTCCCACACAGCCCCTCCGGAGGTTCCTTCCCACTGTGTCCCCCTGTGCCTGCCTCGGCCCCTATCCCACGGCTTCTGGGAGCCGGCATACCTGCTCATGAGACCATGTCCTTTCAGAGCCATCCTTGACACAGATGTCCAGCCTGAGCTCGGTTCCCGTGGCTCCATGCTTGCTGTCCACACAGAGATTGGCTGCCACGTTTCGAATCTGTGGAAAGAAGGAGGAGTGAGCATGAGGCCCTTTTTTATTTTACCTCTAGCTCTGTGTTATCTATGACAATTCTGGCACAGACTCAGCAGTTGGTGTGTGTGTGTGTGTGTGTGTGTGTGTG